AAGTACAGATAATGGGTTCTTACGGAAAACTTGAGAGCCAAAGTTAGGTCCCATGTCATGGCCATTTCTACTGATCATAATTCCATTGTTGAGGTATACTAAAATAAATGTATATTGTGCAATTTACCAAACTCTCATTGGTTTCTCATACAGCATCTCTGTATAGTATGTGTATTAACTCTCTGTCCTACACGGCTTGTTGGAGCTCCTGCCCCCTCCCTGTGAGCCCAGCGGCCGTCTGCGAAACAGCGAGACACCGCGGTGTCTGTCGCCGACCCCACACCAGTGAGCTAGCTCACAGTGTCCCGCTCCTTCGCAGCAGCGAGCCTCGCAACGTCATGCCGAGTGTGTGTGTGAGGAAGTCCGCGGATTGGTCCAAACGTAACGGCTCCGCGGACGTTACGTCACTATATCCGAAATACGTCACTCTATCCAAGAAGTAAACAATGGAAAAAGAGAAATTCCCAACGAGGCGTTCTGGGGCAGCATAGACAGGTATTTTCTGTGTTTGAGTTTTACTCGCAACAGGGTGTACTTTGAGGGTTTGTGACTCTGCAGACCGTTTACATGCATACAAAAAAAAGAAGCTAAAAAGGGGGGACGGGTAATAACCGGAAAAGCATGACATGGGACCTTTAAGTTTGTATCTTGTGACAACAAAATTAACAAAAGGGTTTGCTTTTAATATCTACATACTGAACTGTTTCAACAGGGGAAGCACACAGAACAGAGGACATCGTCGCCTGACCTTTGCTTAGCACACACACACTTTCATCAAGCCATGGCCTAGTGCAGTGGGACTCATTGGACTCTTATTAAAAGGAAAATATTTCATCAAGCTGATAAGCTCCACCGTGATCACAACATGAAGCCTTGGCTTGGAATTTATCTAAAGGCTGCAATTATTTACACTCCGCTGATAACAAGTCAGTGTAAGGCCCATTACCCTCCCACATGGATTTGTTTAACCCTGGCAACTAAGGACACTTGTGTAATTATCCATAGCCCAGATGTTTTTACATGTAGAGATTAGTGAAATATGGATAATAATCCAATTGAATGGAAATGTAATGGTGATACTATTACGAAGCGTTGCAAGTGCTGTTCCTTTAAGCTGGTGCTGACATACTAAATGATGGCTGACTGGTTGGAGGTTGAATAGCAGAGAGTGGAGATGAGAGATGGACCACATCATCTGCCATGCTGTCAAAGTGTGAAGACGCTTAGGTAGGCTACAGTGTTGGAATGTAACTTACTCAAGTACTGTAATAAGTGCCATTTTTTAGGTACTTGTACTTCACTTGAATACTTTCATGTTATTCTACTTTATACTTATACCTTACCACATGTTGGAGACCATGTTTTACTTTTTACTCCACTACATTTATTTTTAAATTTGAGTTACTAGCTACTTTGCTGGTATGGATTTATAATCCTGAATATAAATCATCCAATAAATCATTATGTATTAGTATAGGTTATGATACTCAGCAGTATATAAAGTAATTTAAATAATCCCCACCCTTACCAAGTCCAACATTAATAATCATAATACAAACAAATTATATTTTTAAATCAGATATACCATACTGTATTTTTTGTATGCCAATACTTTGTCCCTTTTACTTGAGTGACATTTTGAATGCAGGACTTGTAACAGAGATTTTTTACAATATATTATTGCTACTTTCACTTAAGTAAAAGGTATGAGTACTTAGTCTTACACCCCAAGTGGTGAAGAAACCCCTTTTTCAAAACAATGCACACGAATGACATTAATGAGACCAACAATTATAAATAGCTGCCCCTTGTGTAATGCATGTGCACAACGACAATGTAAGAAATATTGTAGCTCTTAGTACAAATCTAGCGGTTTAAACCCGGATGACTTCTGAGGTAACACCTGCTGTCCTATGGCATGCTGCTGCTGCTGCTGGTGCTGGTGGACCCACGTCAGCTTTTGGTCTACCAGTTTGTTAACGAGGCCTTACTAAAAAAAAATGTACACAAATTACACCCTATGTGATAACTGCAATGACATAAGACAAGCCTACCTTTGCCATTCTGCCACGCTGAGTACCAGGACAGGCTGAGGAACGACGTGAAGAAAATAATCGCAGTGGCCACAGTTCCATTTCTGAGCCTCATTTCATTTCAGCGGTGCCTCTCCTCGGCTGCTAAGTTGCCGTAGCCGCCCTCCCTGCTTATTTTCCGGCGTGAGGGTGTGAAGACGGGCGTAGGCGCCGGCATATGGGGGTGTTAAACGGTTAACGAAACGCTCCAGTTGACCGGGCAGAGACGGGTGCTTGGGTAGCGTCTTCTCGGGTCGTTTTTTTTCGGAGGGCTGTCAAACTGGCTCCTCCTGTATCGTCCTACTACCTCCTTAGTCTACTGCCTTCCGTGATGAGACAGTTTACATGGTGGTTAAGATACAATCTAGCTACTGATACTAGCCATTGTATGTTATTTAAATGCAGGCAGACGTTAGCTACAAGTTACAGGCAGGAGGCATTTCGAGTGTGTGACGGTTAGTCCTCCGGGATAGGCTGCTCGCGCTGTGACGTGGGGCTCCGAAAGGAAACGCCCCAAATCACGTTGATTCCGTGACAACTGGCAACAGATGAATCTAGACAAATAAAAGCAGCTACATCTTAATTATAACACTCAGAAATATGTTGGTTTTTTTTGGGAGAAAGTGACATGTTGTTTCATGTTGATATTTTGAATGTAATGTAAACAAATCTCTACATATTCAGTAAAATAAAAGTATACAACGAGCATGGACGCGGGAAGGGGTGGTGCTGAGAGGGCTAGCACCCCCCTCCATATTCATCCTTCAATTAATTCTATATTTTTATTCTGTAGATTGTGTACATTACTTTTCACTTTACTGCTTGTTGCACTCCTGGTTAGAAACTAAACTGCATTTCGTTCTCTCAGTACCTGTAATATGTGCAATAACAATAAAGTTTAATCTAATCTTGAGCAGGAACAAATGTATTTACTTAGTACATATCTGACATTAACTATTAAACACATTTGTGCATTCTTTATAAATGCAAACCGAGTCAAGCCGACTTCGGAGGCAGCAGTATGCACCTTAAAGTTGTTTGCAATCCCCCAAAAAGCCGAGAGAAGAAGAAGAAGATGAAGAAGCCGACTCCGAGCTGTCCGACTTCAGGCGAGCTTTTTGAGACCTCCCCCGGCTGCGATCGGCTATTCTCGTCTACTTTCGAGGCGAGCCGCAACGCGTCTCAAACAAGCCTAATAATAGTGGCTTTGTATTGCATAATATGAAAGTTAGTATATCTATCTCAAAAGAATAACTTTAAAAATTAAAACTCACTTTGCAGAGAAACAAAAAATTGTCCGAAACTTTCTTAAAAGAATGAGAAACTCTAAATATTGAAATGTTCCCAAAGTAAGGACTTGTCTCTTCTATTTTCTATTTAGTTTGAGATACTACATAATTATTTTCTGATACTAAATCAGAAAATGCACTGTTTTGAAATATCAACTCGTTATTTTTGCTCTATAGTAATTTATTTAACATATCCAGTATTTACTGATAATTAGTCATTTTGTGATAGTAAGCCAATATTTAAAGTTACGTTTCTAACTATATAATGTACATTATTATTATTTATATCAAATTGGCGAAATGTGGCTTCCATACTTGTCATCATATATTTAACGGACATAACGGCAAATTAACGGATGAGCTACGTGACGTCATCACGTGATTATTGGCAAGACAAGCAGTTAAGAAAGTTACGACAGCGAGAGGAAAACGATAAATTGTCAATTGTTTCTAAAACTGATTGAGCCGATAGAGCACTAGAACCATCGTATTATAAGAGGATAGCTCTTCTTTGCTTTTAAAGGTGAAACTATATTCACTTTCACCTCAGTTTAATCAGTAGAGTGAATTTAGCTTCCTGTTTTAGAATGAAAGGAAAACAGGGACTAGTTCACTTTTTTTTCCGAGTTGGTTTCACAGTTAATTAATATAATTCATGCCTTCTTACTGCTTTTAAAACATGTCGTTTTTTGTAATAACCTAACGTCTTTCTGTCAAGAGACCAGTGACAGCTGGTCTTCCGGTGGTGACTTTCAAAATAAAACAAGTGTAGCCTACCTGTGGTGCAATACGTGAATTGTTGGGCAACTCGAAATGGACGCTTTTTTAATCCGCATACAAATATAACAGTGCCATGGGCTGTTTTCGAGTCGTTTAAAAATAATTCTGAAAAGGTGGAGGTTCTTCCCCTTCTTCAGCGGTAACAACATCCTAGTTTGAAATACCTAAAATGTAAGAGAGCAGTGACTCTTAATTTGAGAGGTATAAAGCGCGTCATCTAGCGGCCAGACCTTTAACCTCATTCATCTACATGTCATTTAGAATTGTATCTGAATATTGAAGTATGAATGCTTGCTGTTTGTATGTTGTCTCCTTCTGAATGTTGTACGTCTCTTGTTGGTTTTTGTATTTTTGATGGCACCTTAAAAAAAGGAGTAGCTTCATCTCATTGTATACCTGTATAATGACAAAGGATTCTATTCTAATCTATTAATTTGCATTATCCTCTTCATCTGGCATGTTTAAAACCACTGGCAAATCTACATTAAGAACACAGCCCTATCATGTATTACCCCTCATCTTCACATTTAAATACAAGGATTGTCATTTAAAAACATTATTTCTGGTAACAAGTGTTGGGAGATAACACTCAAAATATGAATTCCTATAAATTGTTATTGTACTACTGCCACAGCTAGTGAATTGTCCAAGCTAACTTCACCAAATTCGATATTTGTTGCCAACAATAATTGTTTCTCTCATATTTTAGCATGCATGCAGAACTACATTGTAAAACATTTTCAAGTTATGAGATAGAAAACACTATTGATAGGCTGTGATGCTTTATCTATATGCACATAGTATCAAAACTTCATATTTTGCTTATGTAGGATCAGAGTTAATTCTTGAACAGTCACAATTGCGTGTGCTAAGATTCATTTATTTCAAACAGCATCATTGTTTTAATGCACACCCATAAAATAGTAATCAGTGCTTATAGAGAATATATTCAATTACATTTCACTTTTTTCCCCAGCTGGGACATTTTGACCATTGAATTGAACTAGCTTAATGACTTGAAATACATTCACACACCAAACAAAAAACTGATTTTGTGTGATGGGTCAAGTTAAGGGGCAAAAGAGAAAAATAAGTAAGAAAAAAAAAGTAAGAATATGGCACATTGCTGCTTTGGGACTTCTTGCCCCTTATAAAGTGATATTTGTAGTGTGAACACAGCTGTACTAATTTGTGTATCTGATGATGCAGAGGGATGTATGTTCTCAGAAAGGTGTAGCTTTAAAATAGTCCTCCAGGGGAATGAGTGATATGCCTCCGACCCAGTCCTGCAGCCAGACCTGGATCAGCTCCAGCTTCATGAAGAACCAATTGTGTCCCACTGGCCACTTTGCCATCACAGGATGTCTAAAACATAAAGAGCCACACATGAAGATAGCAGCCAAAACGGGCACAATTGTGTTGTTTTCCCACATTTCTAGGCTGAATGTAGCCAACATGTATTTAGGATTACCTGAGTATCTGCCATTATTTAGCCCCTTTAACTGCATATGATATAATCATATATTTATAAGGATGCACTTAAAACTATTCATCTTAAAAAAAAATCATATTTAAACTTTAAAAATACATATATTTGACCTCGCTTAAGGAAGAAACATACCGTTCAACATGACTCAATACTGCTGCTACTTTTTCAAAATGTTCACCAACAGAACTTTTAGCAGCATTTGATTGTTCAGCACCATTCAAACATTTATATTAATTCAAAGCGCAACTATGTGCAAAACAATAACATCTAAATACTTATCATAACAGATAAATAACAACTCTACCTTTAAATACTGGACATAAAATGAAGATGTCAAGGTTAAGGGACTGCATAGGATTTTGCTTTCTAGATATCCAATCCTGTGATTTTGGATAGTATTGGATTGGCCCATCCAAGTTACCTTGAGAACATTGCCTCCTTTGCAAACACAAGCTCCTCTGGTGCCACATCCACCATCTTGCCGGTTAGAGTGAGTCGAGCACATCTTGGATCTTCTGGATCATACACCATTTGCCTTGAGACACAGAACACCATGTTGTCATTAAAACACTCAATAGGGGTTATCGTTTTTCTGAGCCTCTTAGTGGCAACAGAAAGGGCCAACAAAGCAGATACTAAAGCTCAATTTCAAATAGGTGTGTAAAGATCCATCATTCCTGATCCATGTGTCAATTCAATGATCATTTATCCAATATCATCGATATAAATCATCTTTAGAATATGCATTTATTTTTGAAAGAAAGCAGATATAAATGTAACAAATTGTGTTAAATGAACAAATGAAATCATCATATATTGATCACAGGCTCATTAATCGGTTCAAGTTGTAATTATGAGGCAGGCTTTGTGATGTAGGCGAATATCCTATCATTTTCCAAATGGTAATATAGCATCTTATTGTGATGAACCTGAAACTGTCAAAAGTGCTTACGGTACTTTTTCCTTTATCTGAAACTGAAATACCTTTTTTCTAGAATAAAACGTTTTAGGACCTTCATTATGTAAATGATGTGCTTTGTTTCCTAATTTGTTAATCAAATAACCACCCAACAAACCTTGGGGGCAGTTGGTATTTAAGCAGGAACAAATTGTGTATAATGCCTACATTAGGGAAATAACTGGGAGTTAATGGGGGCCCACAAGTTAATTTCTGCCTTAGGAGGATTTAGCAAACTATTAGGTGTATTACTAAGTTGGGGCTTACCTGCAGAATTCTCCCTCAGCCTCTGAGAATGTGAGAGAAGCGAAGGGGTTATTTCTCAGGTCGGACACAGTGTTGTCCATCGGAGTAACGTAAAAATATACGGCTCCAGTGCTGTTGTCCCCCGGTCCATCACTCACTGAGAAGATGTTCCCGAATGGAAGACCTTTGATCTGTGCAAAACAGTAGGAGATTACCAATTATAACACATTGCTTGAAAGCGATTTGAAAAAAAGAATTGAGCACATTAGAGATTGGTTGGTGGTTACCAAGCTGTGGCTGCCAATGAGGGTCATTGATATACTTTATTAATCCCCGTGGGGAAATTGTTTCTCTGCATTTGACCCATCCTAGTGTTAGGAGCAGTGTGCTGCCATTCTGAACGGCGCCCTGGGTCATGTCCTCATGATATGATAAATAAATGATTACTTTATATCAACCAAATATTTTTGGACCTTGAGCATGTCTTAACTTTGAGCACATACATTTCAATTATTTTTGGCCTAGATATTACTGAATAAATATAAGGTTCAGTATTTCACCACAGGAATATCATAGACGACCTTAAACAACATTTAAACTCAGTAAGAAATAGAACATGCTTAATCAAAATAAGAAACATTTTGGTTACACAATTTAGAGCGACATGGACTCATATGACCCGAGTTGTAGTGGAAGAAGTACTCAGATCCTTTACTTAGTAACTCAATGTACAAACACTTAAACAAAGTATTCCTGTATTAATAGAATAGAATCGGATTAAACCCCTCTTTAATGGTCACACATGCAGAGCACACGGCACACACAGTGAAATTTGGCCTCTGCATTTAACCCATCCTAGTACCAGGAGTCTAGTAGGAGCAGTGGGCAGCTATTGTACAGCGCCCGGGTTTACTGTAGCAACATTATGCATAATAATCTCTTTAGTATGTTAAAAGTATGGAGCCCCCTAGTTCCTGACAGTTTATGTTTTGTTCCATGCTTTGTGCAAGATTTGAAAAAAACTCAGGGCTTTCTTCTCAATGTTTTTGTTAGACAAGTTCAAACTGTATCATTGTCATGGGTACACATAGTGACCTTTCATATATCACAGCATAGCCTTGCACAACTGAACTGCTCCAACAGATCAGCCACATAACTAAAACACATGTAAGGTGTTTTAGGGCTTGACATATATAACAATTCTTCATTATATTTTATATTTAACTTATGTTGCAGCTGGTAAAAGAAGAGCTAATACCAGGTTGTTAACATACTGTTTAGTTGATTTGAATGTTGCATTTAAACCTGAAAGTTACCACATATGTCATCTACAAGTAGTCGAGTAAAATATTATATTGAGAAGTAGAAGTGCTAATTACAATAGAAATATTCAAGAAAAGCTCTTCAAAATGTATCTGGGTATACTTGAGTACATGTATTTGCCCTCTACGACCTCAGTACTTGCAAAACTCTTGCTACAACACTCACTCTACCCTCACCCTTTATTTACCCTTTATTATAATAAACAGATTGTGATTAATGGTGTGAGATATAATCAACTCTTAAATAAGACTTGAGTTAGACCTGGAGTTACTTTCACAACAACAAAAAGTAAACAAAGTTAATCAAATTAGCTGCCCCTTTACAAGCTATGATAACACTTAAATTAATCAATGATTACAATCAAAACATATAATATTATTCTGAAATATGCCAATCTGGAACTTTTACTTGTGGTACTTTAAGTAGCCTATCTTGAAGCTAATAGTTTTGTACTTTTACTTAAATAAAACTTTGATCAGAATCAGAAACAAGTTTATTACCAGGTAGGTTGACATGTAGGAGGAATTTGATTTGATGTCATGGTGCATACATAAAAGTAAAACAACAATTAAAAACACAGATAGAGAACAAGAAAAATATTAAAAATAATTTTAAAATAATAGTCAAATATAACAGAAATGGAATGGAATACAATTGATTGCAGGACTTTCACCCATAACAGAGTATTCCTACACTCTGGTACTCAGTAGTCTACTTGAGTAAATGTAGATATGGACCTCATTTACTTGTAAAACGTTTTCTACAACCCTAACTCTACTTTCACTTAAGTTTATTATAACAATATTTTTGTAGCATATTGCTTAACTAAACGTAGTTTAAATACGGTAAAACATTGGTTAATGTTAGCAATGACTTGAGACAAATCCCCCTGTGTACCTTGTCCTGAGTCGAAATGGTGGCCAAATGACCCCAGTCGCTGTTGTGGGCTATATATCTGGCCGTCCTGGCCGTCTCTTGGTGCGGGGGAGGCCCGCTGCTGCTCCCGGCCTGCTGCACCTTCTCCAGCCGGTATGAGAACAGCCGAGAGGAGGACAGCTGCGCCACATTGTCGGTCTCCGGCTCGGCCAGCTCCCGGGGGCTCTCCACGCCGTCTCCCAGGACGTTAGAGGCCGGGTAAGCCTGCTTCCACAGCCCGGCTCCGTCCACCAGCAGCGCCGGGGCGACCTCTTCCTCCGACAGGTCCGCTTCCTCCACCACGTCGTTGGAGGAGACGACCCAGGACACGGAGCTCCGCAGTGTGTAGCTGTGACTCAGACACAGGACGCTGGCCAACACCACCAGGGGAAAGTAAGGGACCCTCATACTAGTACCGAGATCTGACTATGGCCGCTCGTTTGTTTACAACTTCACGTGTGAGTCCTTTATACATCCATGGTGCTAGCTTTCGTAACTCAAGGATATTTCACAACAGAGAGCAGCTGTACAGCGACCCCTTCTGACAAACATGGGGAAGTACATTTAGAAGCAATACACTTTTTCAGAATGATAAAATAACTGACAACTGTCTGATATCTCCAATTATTATCTGTATGCATTGGTGGATAAAGTAGCCCAGAGAAGAAACAATGCAATATTGTTGAAAAAAATACTCTAGTTCAAGTATAAATCCTGCATTCAAATCCATACAATCCAATATTGGTATCAACATATACTTTAAAATAACTTTTTCAGAGTAATGGCCTATTTCAGAATCATATATTTAATTACTGGGTTGTGTTCAATTATGTCATAATGTGTTCATTGTAGCTGATAATGGTGGCACTTATTGTAAGTACTTTTTATACTGCTGCTGATATGATGTTATGATATTATGATATAATGTGGAATTATTTATAATATTTATTTATCAGTTGATTTATATTTGGTATTAGCTTATGAACACGCAGTAAAAAAAATGCCTGAAAATTGTAGTTAGTACAAGAATTCATGTAATTAATTACATTTCACCACTGCCCATTTGTTTTAGGCTCAAATCCAGCTTGGCCAATGTTTCGATCATTTTAGTGATGTTTAATTTATGCAATGCTGACTTAACAGTTGAATACAATTATATTATAATAATAAATCATCTGTGCCACACTCAAAGTAATCAATCCGTATAACAGTCTGCTTTAGTGTTGGATTAATAAATACATTACATTTTTACATACTGTACATTTTCTCTCAATATTATTATTTATGCTTGCATTTAAATACACTTAATTATAAATGTTGCTTCAGCACTAGTATTATAATTCACTTTCTTTGCTGTATATAATAGTTCCTATATTTGTACATATTTATTATTTGTATTTGTTCCATCATGTTGTTGATTAAATCATACATTTTTCTATCTTTTTTTCTGTTTTACTTTAAGTTAAATATATATAGAACAGTATATACATTCTGAAATGGGAGTAACTGTAATGTAACCCCAATATTTTCAGATTTTGATATATTTATTTATGACTTTGCTACTTACCTTTTTTATACTCAATATCTACTGGATTTCAGGGAGGAATATTTTTACTCCACTACTTTAATTTCATATATGGTTACTATAGTCTTCAGATTAAGCTTTAACATTCAAAACCCAAAATTAGCCTATAGGTTAGCTAGTGATTCCTAATCTGAGGATCAAAGATAAATCTGAGGAGTAACATCATCTAAGGAGTCGTAAAAGACATGTTACATAATTAGCAATGACGTAATTATTTAGGAAATATTTCATAATAAACCGTTCACAGCCTACAGTATGTCCCCAATACAACACAATGGTTCCTAAGTAATAATTAATTTGAGCACCCATTAATCCTACCAATCAGTATAAAGTAGTAAAATGATTTCCAACTTGACCAGTTTAGTCATTAACATACAATGACTTTAACTAACGGAGTGAATATTAGTTTGCTGAGGCTGCTTTTAGTTAAGACCTGGATCTGGTTTGCAGAAGTGGATGTCCCATGATAAAGCTTAGTATTAGATTTGTGCCAAGTTAACACAAAGTCAAAAGCTGGATCGAGAACTTTAATCACAAACTCAAGGTCTTAAGGAAAAACAATAACCACCACCAACCCCCCACATAAACTCTCATGTTGTGTTAACTCTCCTTTACCCTCTTCCCTTCAGTGACAAATTACACACAAAAAGGGAGCATTAGTATCTTAAATTATTTAATGTAAACTGTTAACATGCCGAATCAGATACATCATTAAGAAATACAATTTATGGTGATGTGCTTGTTGTGGAGACTGATTATATTACATTTCAATAAATTCTCTGTCTCTTAATTTAACATTAACACTTAACAAATGAACACACACACACACACACAAACACAGAAATGAATCTTTCTGATAGACTAAACAGATATACAACATAACAATATTTCTGTTTCCCTCTCACTCCATGGACTTGTCACTCCAGGCCATTGATTTTCTTTTGGCCAGCTCCATCCAGGACGGCTGGCCGCCCCCAGACTGCAGCGCAGATGGCAAAGGAGGCGACGATGAGGGCGATGAAGATGTCACCGCTGTTTTCCGCGGCCATTTTTCCTCACGAGGTCTGTCAGGAATATTTGCCGGACTTGACTCTGAAAGGAAAAACTTGTGTCACATTGCTGCTCATGGATTCACTTAATACTCCCATAAGTATTACTGCAATTGTAATTATATTGTGTCAACACACCTGCAAGTTTTACGCCTTGTTTTCCCTCCTGTTTGATGTCTTTGCTTAGAGGCGTGGTTTTCACTGAGGCAGGGGATTCACCTGATGTCTGCTCCTCTGTTTGAGCTTTCTTCAATTCCACCTGAGGAAAACAGTGAGTTAGACCACCTGCTCTGAATGACCTATCAGCCTAAAACAGGAGGAGTTAAACAAGTAGTAAGAAGTGATATTTAAAATAGTATTTTTTGTCAAGATATCCAATGAAAAGACCAAAACCAACATCCTTCTAACAAACAATGCATCTTCTTTACACTGCAGCATAAGAGAATTGTTGCCTTAAAACTGTTGAAACACATAAATGAGCAACAACATTGCAGTGGCTGACATATTCCCTAATTAGGATGAACAATGTAGTTAAGTCAAACACACACAATGTCCTACAATGGGAATACTCTCTGCAGTTGCACTATTTACTTCCATTTGAGTAATGTTGCTAAAAACTACAGCTGTTTAAGGAGGCTACTTAGCCTTTGTTAAATCATACAACTGTATTGGTGACCCCATTTTTAAGATGAACATCGTCGAGTGAACAAAATGCCTTAAGTCTAAGTGCATTTGCGTACTAAGCGACTTTGATTACCTAGGAAAGCAATATATTAATTACATTTATTATTATAACACTTGAATCGAGGTCGGAGAGTATTAATAGAAAGATTATCACACTCTTGGTTTTTGATTGTTCATGGGATTTGTTGAGTATAATAAAAAAGATTATCTTTAGCAGTATGAAAGGCAGCTACAAAGAAGTACCACAAACCCCCTTGGTTCCAGGTGGAGTGGTCCACTCTGCCCGTTTCTCCAAAAATGCTGCCTTCTCGCTCACTGCCCCGGCCCACACTGCCCGTCTTCCTGACTGCGATGGACCCTCCTTCTCCTGCACGGTGGTCTCTTTTTCCCCTTTTCCCAAGGCAGAAACCGGAGGCGAGGCTGAAGCCGATGTAGAAACTGAGGTTGATTTGAGATGGTTGGCAGCATTAAGACCTCGATTGCTCCAGGAAGGTTGCCGCTGAACGGAGGAAAGGTAAGATTGTGCGAGGGACTGTGTGACGTTCCCCTGTGTTAACTGAGAGGATGTCTCTGTTTGTGCAGAGGAGTGTAAAGGAGACTGGGCTGTCCTGGTCTGCACAGCAGGATGAGACGCTGACTGAGGTTCACTGGTTTGTTTGGCTGTTTGTGGATCTTTACAGGTGTTGGACTGAACAGGAGATATCTTCTGTTGTGTTGAAATCAGTGACGGTTTCCCAGTCTGTGCGTCACTTCCACTTCTCCCTGTTTCTGCCTCAGTTGGAGGTTGGTTTGCAGCCTCGAGTGGTGTTGTGCTTTGTTGTATTTTTACAGTCTGTGCTTGTGTTCCACTCTGCACCTCTGTCTGAGCTTGAGGTCCAGGCGCTGTCTGCCCGCCTGTAAAATCCCTGGGAAATCTGTTGGTAAAAAGCTGCTGTATGCTCCTGGTCTTTTCCATTGCCAAGCTCATCCAGGACACATCAGATGAGGCCGTTGGGGGGGCGGGCTGCGGCTCCTGGGGCACAGGGACGACAGCTTCAACTTCTTTTAGATTTGACGAGGTTGTCTGGATTTCTGTCGCCACGATGCGAGTATTGCCGGTAGATGGAGGGTTGTTCTTCAGTGGAAAAGTGAAGCCAGACGAGGCTGGATCTAAAGAGTGACACAGTTCAGTTAGACACACTGGGTCGGCTGCACTGTTAAAGTTAGAGTGGCCTTTTAATAAGTTCAAAGGTCTATTGTCATCAGTGCAAATCTTATCATTCTAGTGTGATTATTTACTATGTGCATGTGTGCACTGTCTTACCTTATATGGAACGGAAAAAGGATCGCACAGTATGCAATAAGGCAGGGTCTATTTTGTGTGTGTGTTTTCTAAGCTTAAACATCTTCTGTGTGGTAAACTTAAAAAAAATAAAAGACAAACATTTCTCGTAGACTCACCTGATGGTCGTAGGTCTCTTATTTCTGGTCTTTTAGGTCTGTCAACCTGCTCCTCACACACTGGTGGAGTGTTGGAAGAGGCGTCAGACTGAATTTTCCTGGAGCGCAGTTTAACCCCAAACGCCATCTTTCCCTCGTCATCCTCCACCTCCCTTGCTTCCAGCGCCTCCTCCACCACCTCCTGGCTGCTCTCAACTTCCTCCACTTTGACAGCGCCTGTAACTGTGGTCACATTTGTATTAGATGGTGTCACTGATTCCACCTTTTTGAGGCTGTCCCCCCTCTCCCATGGAAGAACCGGGCTTTTGTGTACACCTGCTTCCTGTCTAAGTCTTCCCACAGCCCCTTTAAGTTCTTCCTTTTCCTTCATGCTTGAAAATAATGTATCCTCTGCTCTAATGTCTTTCTTCTGCTGGGCTTCTGTGTTTTCCACAAAACTGCCTGACCGGGGTCTCTCTCCACCACGATTTTTGGCGGTGGTGATGGAGAAGTGGAAGGAGCCGGATCCTGGGGTGGGTCTCTTTATTCCTCTTGTGATTTGTGACTCACTTTGAAGCTGCTGTTGAACTGTGGGGTGCTGGTCAGATATAATCGTATTTCTCTTGTCATGGGACAGTAGTTGTATATCTAAGTCCTCTCTGCTGTCCCTCCGTTCTGACTGTATGAAGGATGAGTGTGGCCGTTCGCTGGGCTTCACATCCGCTGATCTGTTGGGTTTCACTCTGAGTACCTGGGAGGGTACGAAGGGCAATTTCCCAGGAAGCTCCTTTGGGGAGATCGTCGGGCTGGGTGATTTGGATGCTGCCTCCGATGGTGCGACCTCTGGGGATTTTGAAGGGAGAAGCTGGGATGTAATGGGAATGACATCCTCTCCTTTTTCCAATGTCACCTCGGCTTCAGTTATGAGCTGCTGTGATTCTTCTCTCACAGACTCAGGGTGGTTGATGTTGTTCAGGGTGTGTAAGTGAGATTCTGAGTCATTCTGCAAAACATGACATAGAAAGAGTATAAGGAAAATGCATGAAATGTGTTTCTCTTCTGGTGATAAAATGTTGACTCACTGAAGGGAGGGTCTTCTTGGTGCTGGCTCTCTGCTTCCTGGGCTTGATGGACATGCGGTGGCGGGCAGCAGAGGTGTCCAGGCAGGGGGTGAACTGGACTGGAGAGCTGAAGTCTAACGGGGTCTCAACCACAGAAGGAGAGGAAGTGGGGGAGACAGAAGGAGGAAGAGGGAGGGAGGGAGTCAGGAGCACTGATTTGATTTGTGAAGGTTTGGGGATGGGGGAGAGCGGACGAGAGGATGGCTGAGATGCAGTCTGAAAAGAAAGAATAATCATAATATAACACTTCAACAAAAGAGGAAACATGAAGACATGTAAAAAAGTACAGAACATGTATAATTGTTTTTATTTTAACAGGATTTCTAATTTATTCTATTTACATTTTAGGCTCGATTCTACATTAACTGTACCAACTAGAGAAGACAAAGCTACTAAAAACACAGCAAAGAGCAACACTGTTACACTGTTTCAAAATGTTCATAGTCTCTGGGTGATTTTCAGTCTATCCCACTTGGTCCTGCTGCTGTAAGTACTCACTAGATTCATCTCCGTCTAAAAATAGTCCCCAAAAAATGCAATACTTAGCAATGTAAGCAATGCTAAAACACCGCAGTGCACAGCTGTTTAGGGATTACCGTGCATAAAACGTAACTCTATGCGGCCTATTTTCTAAGATTTGCACCGTGAGCTTGGTTTGGGCAGAATATATTGGGAGTCGAACTAAAGCATTGTTGGTTTTGGCTTTTTTAATATTTTTTCTTGATTCATCTTCTAACCTTTATCTTAAACTAAACTCAATCCTAATCTCAGACTTAAATCCCCAAGAATTTAGGATTGGAACATTTCACAATTCCACACAAAGAAACAAACATACACACATTCACACAAGTGCTGCATTTACGGCAATACTGTATGTTAGCATTAATGTGTTTACAAAGTGAAAAGATGATACTTGATCCAAAATAGTTGGTGAAACGTAAATAGCAGCGGAGTCTGATTGATAATTCTGCTCAGGAGTATTTCTCAAAATCATAAAATAAAAAATACACCCTGAAATTGGGCCAAATGTCAGAACATATGTCCATTACAGTTTATCAAAATCCAAGGTGATGTTTTTCAGTTCAAAGGATAAACCGTTTAATATAATATGAAACAGCTGAAAGCAGGAAATCTCCATATTTTTAAGAATCTGAAATGAAATCTCCTGCACTTTTGGCATTCAAATACACAAATTATCAAAAAGGTTTTGCAGTTATTTTCCCAAATACTATTAAACTGAATTTGCTCTGATTAAATAAGCAGATACCTGGCCATGTGTCCCTGTAGTGGGAGAATGAGTCACCTTGCTGGGGGCTCCTGAGGTCTCAGAGGGGCTGTGGGGAAGACTTTCATCCTCTGAGCGGCTTCCCACATCCTCTGGACGTCTGACTGGCACAACCAGAGGCGGCGGACCCAAATGCATCTTCTGCTGCTGAAGCTTCACCTGTGATACCAGAGGAACAGGTGCTTTTTCTTTTAAACTGGTAAAAGATGGTAAAGATCCCCAAAAAGTTTCCTATAGTAAAATACTGTACCTGCAGAGCTTTGATCTTGCTGTGGACGTTTTCCTGCGATAAGACCCTGGCTGGCTCAGCGTCTGTCAGGACGTCATCAGCCAGGAAGATGCTGTCATGGGACAATGCCCGAAATCCCATGATGCCCTCAGAGAATCTGTGACAGCAAGAGGGGAAGAACAGGGGAAGAACAGAAGAAGAACAAAGGCATAGAGTCAGGACAGGTATGTAGCTGAGAAGCAGAAATTGACACCGTCTTGTAGACACTCACGCCAAATCTTCATCAGACCCGAGTCCCTTTCCTGCAGTGATGTCGCTGGAGGACTGGCTGAGCTTGGCCTCGGCCTCCCCCCCTCCTCTCTTACTTTTCCCGAACAGACGGGTTTTCAGAGACTTGAGTTTGGACTTTTTACGCCCTGATTGGGATGAAGACAGATCCAGGTCACACTCACACACATGCAGAACTCACAAGGTATTCTCCTCTCTTTTTTAATTGCTACATCAGATGCATGTCATTGAGTATAAATGGTCCTCGGATTGTGATAGTCACGTGCAGGGGGCGGACTGGCCATCTGTAGAATCTGGAGAATCACAGAACGGCCGGTCGTCATGGGCAGTTGACGGCCGGCTCGGCTCGCTCACGGCCGGCACCGCCCCTGTGTGTGCCGGCCGTGAGCGTGTGTTTTTAAACGGCATCATTGAAGTACCCCCCCCCCCCTGTTGACAATTCACGTGGGCCGGTCTGGGTGATATTCCAGGACTGATTTTTTGTCCCAGTCCACCCCTGGTCATGTGTCCTTTATGTGGTTAGCTATTCTTTTTCAAAGACTTGCTTTCTTCACACTTATGGTGAGAAGAAAGCAGGTCTGAATCTGAATCCACTCTATGTCCAAGTCCGTTTGCAAATACAAGGAATGTGCTTTGATTAATTAGTGCACAAGATAACCATAGATATAATAAAAAAAGTAAAAAATTATATAATAAATAAGAAAAGCAAGTATTGCAAAAATCAAATAACTAATAATACATATAGAGGAGACGAGAAATATATTAAGAGTATGAAAATATACTGTAAAAATATGTACAATATATCTGAATTCATTTGTGAAGTGGTATTTTTGTGCAGAAATGTGCGAAATTCTCCAAGGCAATTGCAAAGGAATGAATAAAAGAACATACAGAGAGATATATACATATAAAGATATGCAATAATGTAACACATCCCACTCTTTTGGAAAAATGCATGACAGATTATCTTACCTGGAATATCCTCAGTGCTTTCTTACTGTTTCTCCAGAGAAATACTCCATCTGTCTGATCACTGAAATCAGAGACGACAGGAATACTCCGACTCAGAAAATGGGAAGAAACCAGGACAACAAAAACCTCAGGCTAACACTTTCTAGAAGCCGTTGTCACATGCTGGAGGGCAGGTTGTGGTGTGAATACTCCAGTGTTCCCTGGCTCTTAATGCACTCGTGTGACAGCCTGAAGGAGAGAGTCTGGACTCGCGGTTCAAAGGTTTATTGGTATTATCAGGAATCTTTACTGTAGCTAGGTGGGGCGTGCTGAGCAGCCCTTATAGTCTACAATAAGTCATAAAAGAGGTTTTGATCGGAGGAACAATGTAATTGCAAGTCCATAAAATGCAGTTACATGAAGAAAAAACACCCTATGTAGGTTAAAGAGCAAGTATTAGGATTTGAATTACAATAGTACATATCACTCATAAAGCAATGCAGCCTGGATAATGTTTCGTAGACAAAGCAAACACTGCAATCTCTCACTCAGACAGCGTCACTTATGCAAAACTATGACTGACAAACATACATATTGGGTTTATGTGTTACTCAGTGCAAGGTGCTTGTTTTATCTTCGTTCCACAGGCTTTGTTTCGCACCCTGCTCTGCCACTAGTGTGCCTTTTGAGTCCCACTGTTCTCTGTGTCGCCGAAGAACTGCTAACAGAGTGATCCTGTACAGCATGTTCGCTTGATAAGACAAGATGTGGCAGGTTATGGGTAAACATGCAAAGTCCACACTTCCTCTCTCCTATCACCTGCTCTCACAATACAAGCACACCCTATTGAAAGGGATGTAAACTACAAAAAAAGTTGCATGTGACTTACATAACATGTGAACCTCTTGTCCTATAAATACAACTTGTGTGTGTTTTTGATGGTGCTCATGAATCATACCTCAGACTTTGATCAAGATACAGCCCCAACAGAAACAACGGATAATCCAGTGGATTATTGACATTGCACAGAGATCCTTGTGAGATTTCACAGCACCATAATCCACAGCTTAATCATAAACGCCCCATGCCAGGTATTCACATTCACAAGGGAAAGCACTTCTCTATTCAAGGGTAAAACACACATTCCCACATCATTAAGGTAAAGGAAAAATAACTTACCCAGCGTCTTACAGCAGCACCTCTGCTTCTCTTCCTCCTCTCTGGGCAGAGTTGTCTTGTCGTCTTTGTCCCTGTCCTAATGTTTAAACCTCAGGCTGGAGTCGTCCCCCATCTGCAGACGGAGGGAGATGCGGAGGGAAGGGAGCGAGGGAAGGAGAAAGGACAAGCAGAAAAGAAAGGCAGAGAGAGAGAAGGACACTCCATGACAGGGTAAGCAAATGCACAAAGAGAAAAGAGGACAGAAGAGAATAAGAGAGGCCGAGCGAGAGGGGGAGAGAGAGGGATACTCTATTACATTAGTGGCACACTATGGCCCTCTGCGCTAAGCTCCTTATAAAACGCTAACCTGATTTTAGGCCCAGAAATGAGAGTAGAGGGAAAAAATAATAAAGCTCCAGTAGGAAAGAGGACAGGCATACAGGAATACGGCTCAGAGGACTGTTTACATATTACACTGGGCTGCTTACCCCCCCGGGCCACCACAGAGACGAGCCTGTGTGTGTGTGTGTGTGTGTGTGTGTGTGTGTGTGTGTGTGTGTGTGTGTGTGTGTGTGTGTGTGTGTGTGTGTGTGTGTGTGTGTGTGTGTGTGTGTGTGTGTGTGTGTGTGTGTGTGTGTGTGTGTGTGTGTGTGTGTGTGTGTGTGTGTGTGTGTGTGTGTGTGTGTGTGTGTGTGTGTGTGTGTGTGTGTGTGTCAAAATAGTTAAACATTCAAATAAATACCAACCAGGAATGAGCCATCTCTTAACACTGGAGAGATGCAGAGTTTTCTTTCAAACACACCAAACATTAAATAATATTTTGTGATATTGTGCATAGAGATACTGTATGTGTGTTTTTATTATGGATGTCAACACAAAATAGGACATTTGCAAATGCATTATATTGATGTGTGTTGCATGATAATAATACATTTATTATATCAAGTGCTTTTACAGATGCTCAAAAACACTTAACATAAAATAAAAGTCGCAGAGGGCCAAATAAAAATCAAGCTAATAAAACTAAATTTAACACGGGAACACACACAATATAAGCCAGTCCAAACAGGTGAATACTGGTCAGTGATTTGAAGGAGGGGGAGGTCGGTGCAGATTTTTCCATTATGTATTTTTATTGCTACCTATTTATTGATTTATATTGTCCTACATGTGCTCTGTTCAAAATACAAATCTCTTTTATTATTTTAGATACAGTATAAGGACTTCAGATCAAAATGAGCTATTAGCTATAATCTGGCATGTATCAGAGATGTATGTATTTGTATGCATTGTACTTGTTCAACAAAAGAAAGGCATAATAATAATTTTAAAAAGAAGCATACCTTTATGTATGCCCTAAATCCAAAAAGCATAATACTCGAAGGAAAAATGATACGTAAAAATGGGTCTTCACTGCCTCGTTAAATGCCGAAAATAACCTTTAAAAGAAATGTCCCTTTCTTTAAAAGAGACCAAGATATCTCGCACACACACCGTTTCCTAACATTACATTGATCCCAGTGTTGCTACAGTGAATGTGCACATTCCCACAGGAGGGTTTCAGAGATGGCAGCACTATGTAGGCCACTGGGCTACAACCAGAGAGGGGGGGGGGGGGGGGCACAGGAAGAGGAGACCTTCATCCACATTGTGTCTGTGTGTGAGCAGCTCCTGATGAGGCTCCTCATCCCATAAATCCTTATCTCTTCCTCTCAAACATAAACCCAGCCGCTGACATCTGGATTACATGCAACCAACCACATGTTAACACCGTCACCGACCTGACATACACAGTCTGGGATGGGATTTATTTGAGGATTTATTGTCTGTAATCTGCACATAAAGGACAATATGTATGCAAGTGTATCTTATTTGAAGTGATAACAGCTGATGTGGTGACATATGAAATCTGTCTGCTCATTTACAGCAGAAACAGCTTCTTTTGTCCTCTCTTATAAAGTAATACAAGTAGAGACATCCACGGTCATCTGTGCTTCCCTGACGGATTATAAAGCGTCCCCTCAGAGCCCAGATGAGGACCGGGCATGAAAACCCAGATTAAGGCCGATAGATAATCCGATCACGGCGCTGTTTGAACTCTTGTGTGTTTCCATTCATCCAAACAAACAGTTTTCCATGAATATTTAATGAGGGTGTTTTTTTCTTCATAATTGCTTTTTTATGGGGGAAATATTATGTCATTAAAATGTCATTAACTCAACATTAATCCTACAAGCTACACTGAACAAGTGATTTACACACAGACAAAGCTGGACTAATGTATTCATAATTATTGTTTTTACTATAACAGTTAACTACATTTCAGTTGGCTTTTCATTCAACTGATTAAAAACAGGACTTTAGCAGTTAAATGGTGGTATATAGACTAAGTAAACAACGGACAACTGCCAACCAACCCCTGAACGTTTTACAGAGTGCAGCGTTGGAGAATACAAATAATGTTTTTATATTAGGCTTGGCTACCTGATACATTTGCTGCATGAAGGATTTGCATATTTCTAGCAGTTTGAAACAATGGTTAATGATATGATGTTATTTCAATGACTCAGTGGTCATGTTCATTCTTGACCTAGTGAATAGTTCACAAACATGGAAGAGAAGTCCAATAGTAGTCTGAATAATGCAACCTTTCTATGACACTCAAAACTCAATCTCCCATGCACCATTATTTTAAAAGACGTATTGCAATACAAATAATATCAAAATAAATCATTAATGTCTTTAGATTTGATTATTTAGATTTGTAGGCCTACTGATATATGCTGTGTTTTTATGTTACTTGTGTATTTAGTGTTTGTTCAATAATAAATGAATCCAAACTCTTAGATCAAGTTTGACTTTCGACTACATTTTTATAAAGCACAAACTGAATTAATTATTTGAACTGAATAAACTGCTGCAGCTTAATCAGGTTTGTGGTAATCAAGATACTTTTTTTATATGTATGAATATATTTTAAATGTGATATACTTTAAATACAGCTACTTTAAAGCTTGATCATGATTAAAATAATAAAACAAAGACCATTTTAAATAATTATAAAAGCAGTTTTAATTGACCTTTTCCACCAGATGGCAGTATGACGTTCTTAAAAAACATTTGGTAATAGAAGAATTAAAAGTGTTTTAAAAATGTAAAGAAAAGAACCAGAAAAGAACCCTTTAAAGAAAATAATATGTTAACAGGAAAACAAAGTATTTGGCAACATTTGACAGCACAAGTCTGTGATAATCATACATGATCGTACAGAATTAAAGACATGTCAGTGTGACAAAAGCATTTTGTAAAACCTGATCAAAATGGCTCTATAAGGCCGATCACATCACAAGTATTTAAGGCAACTCCAAACCCACAGCAGATGTGTCTTTTGGGCAGGTGAGTAAATTAAGATAGAAAAACAGTTTTTAAGATGTTTGAATCTCATAGTGTTTTTGTGTGTTTGGTGTGAAAAATATCTACGCTGGTCTCGTGGCACTGCCGGAGGTCGTAGTCACAATAACCGATAGAGAATCGACCCTGGAGGATAAGAAAGATTCACAACAAGTCAGCGATGTGATTCTGACAATGGCATTTAAAGAAAAGGATTCATATAAACTGTAATGACGTCTCACCTTAGGTCTTTTGAAGTAATCCAACCCTCTGCCTATCTTGATGATCCAACCATTGTCAAACCTAAAAAACCCAAATATGTTTTTGTTTACAACCAGAAAATAAAACAGCAATCATAGAGAGTAGGGAAAATAAATCCTAAAAATATTGTTTTTTAGATATTGCAAATTGAAAACTATTCTTAGCTTATAATGTGTTTTGTTAATGTGTAAAATCCTTGAAATGCACCTGATCTCCCTGTCGTGTATGGTGGAGGAGTACTGCAGATCCAGAGTCACTCCCTGAGCGCTCAGACTCTCTTTGATCTCAGAGAGAGCACCGCGCTGCTGCCCGCTATCCGCCTGCTGGACAGGACAAAATGGTATTAAAACAACAGCACAAAGGGACCCAGACACCTACAGTATACAAACTATTTTTACTGACTGTCAATGTGGGAGGAGCACAGGTGTTGCTGAAAACATTCATTACAGACATAAATCATGGCTTATCACAAATCAAAACGGTAAGAGGAATTTGTCTGGCATTCATTTATTTATTTAGACCTCTGCTACTGTGCCAAGTCATGTGATTATGTTGGAAAAGGGCCAATGACTGCTATTCATTTACTACACTTTGTGCGACCATATTGTTTCAGAACCAACCTCGTCCTGGGAGGTGAGCAGATGGACCTTCTTCACCTTGCAGGGCGCTTTGAGCAGCATCTCACAGAACCGCAGGAAGTTGTACAGCTGAAAGGGAAGCAGTTTTACTTTGAGATTAAACTGCAGTGTTAATCAATTCAATATGAAGATACACAATGATTTTTTAAATGTACAAAATATATAATTCTTTGAAAATTCAAAATGTAATTAACTTTAGGAACAGTTTAAGTATTTTGTGTGTTGTGGGATGTAGGTTAATAATACTAAATACTGGTGGAGAATTTGTATACACCACTTTCTGTGTGAAATTAATATAACAGTTTCGATTGAAATGATAACAATACGATTGCATAACAAGACGATAAATGATCCTATTGAATAATTGCTCATCCCTATTTGTAACCCTATTAACACATCCTAAGCCCTAACCAACCCTAAGGCCCTTATTATATAATATTATTTTGGCACTGAATATTTACATAAACAAAGTTAATCTTATTAATGCCATACAGTCAGTATGTCGTTTTTTGGGCTGTAGTGCAGATGCTTTCCTTAAAGTGGTTATTAATCCAACACTGTATACATTAAATGACTTAAAGGAGACATCCGGTTATTACCCGTCCCCTTGTGTGTTATGAAGGTTTTTATGCATGTACACGGTCTGCAGAGTCAAAACCCCTCAAAGTACACCCTGTAGCGAGTAAAACTCTAACACAGAAAATACCTCCCCAAAACGCCTCGTTGGAGATTTCTCATGTTCTTCCTGGACATTGTGACGTCTGAACACCCAGTAGCCACGCCCAGAGCTATGACCAGGCTGATTGGTCCAAATTAACCAATCCACGGACTTCCTCACACACACACTCAGTGCAGGCAGCTCTGCTGATTTCTCCTCCCTGGCTGCAGGCTGATAACAGACAGTTGGGATGGCGGCGAAATTCTCTCTGCAGACCCATTCTCACAGCGTTGATCAACCTTTTTCTTACTCAATATCAAGCCACACTTATTGTTTTTACTTCGGCTGTGACTTTGTGTGTGCTCAGGATGAGTTTGGCTGTGTTTCGCTGTCGCTAAACAAGGAAACCACACCTCCACGGAGCTCAGCGCGATTCACAACGTCCCGACCAATCAGAGCACACTGTGCTCACAGGGAGGGTGGGGGCTGGAGCTATTGGAGCTACAACGAGCCGTTAAAGGCAGAGAGTGAAATTCAGTGAATACATGTAGTTTACAGAGATGCTGTATGAGAAACCAATGTGAGTTTGGAAAATTGCACAATATAAATCTATTCTAGTAGACCTCAACAATGGAATTATGATCAATGGAAATGGCCATGACATATCTCCTTTAAAGATCATGTGTAGAATGAAAAATCTGAAGTTGCAGCCCTTGAATAAACGCAAATAAACAAAGGCAAATCCAGCTTGACGAAAATAAAGTAATGTGAGATCTCACTTGGTGTATGTGCCGTATGTAAGGGTCTTCCACCCAGACCTCGGTGAGGAAGCTGCTCATGTAGGGCTTGAACAGAGACTCGTAGCTGTGACCTGTCGCGTCCTCTGATATCCTGATCTGCTCGTGGTATTTCCCATCTGACAGGAGAATATAGGCAGTTAGAGATGGCACAAATAACCCAATGCTATTTACCGCTCGAATATGAATGCATTGTCAATAAGATATAACTTTAACAATTCCCTGACATTATAGCTGTTTGTAGAGCAGGGTTCATATATTCATAAATGCATTTCTGTTAAATGCAATTATCAAAAAACAAGGTGGTCAATAGACTTTACAGCAGGTTCATTTGTGTTTCAGTGGTTTTGTTTCCTACCTTCTTTCAGCTGGTTCACATGAGATTTGATCTGCTCTGCTCGGTCCATGTAGCCCTTTATCTTCTCCCTGTAGTGACCTCGCTTTGAGTCATCTTTCACAGAGGCTGTCAGGGGAGAGAAAACAAGAATAAATTATGATTTATGTCTTTTCCATGCTACATTACCTCTACTGTACTCATTATTAAGATATTAAGACAATGGGCCCCTGGGTTAAATATACGCAAAAGGCCCCAACACTACATATGAGAAGGACATAAAGACGTTATAGTTTGTTTGCCTCTTTTTGTTGTTCCTTTTGTATATTAAGTCACTTATAGTTGTCTTGTGTCATTTTGTAGTCATTATGTGTCCATGTGTAGTCTTTTTGAGTTACTTTGTGGTTGTTTTGAGTCTCTATGTGTCTCTTTGGGGTCGTCTGTTCCACTGTGATAATATATATTCATTTTGTAGTAGTTTTGTGTCTCATTGGGGTCATTCAGCCCCTCTTGGTTGTTGATTCGGTGTAGTCATTTTTTGCCTATTTGTTATCATTTTTACTTGATAACAGGCCTGTATAGTATCTAATTGTTTTTCTTCCAGCTTTGTTGTCCTTTACTGTCTTAATAATTCCTGTATAAGTTTATCAAGAGATGCCAAATAAAAGTCAAAATCATTGTATAATTAAGTACACAAACTGGGCCAACAAATATGATTCTGATTTAGTTTGTTGGTCATTTTGATTCTCTTCCTGGTTGGTATCTGTCTCTTGTCCCCTACACACCGGGCTCCTAACCCTGTAGGACCGTGCTGCAGTCAATACTTTCCTTTACATTGCATTTAATGTTATGAATAATAATAATAAAGCACCTTTCAGCACGTCCATGAGCAGCTGTATGCCCTCCTGGTAGCAGACCAGAGACTCTTGGAAGCGGCCGCTGTGGTCCAGCTCCACGGCTCGCTTCAGGACGGAGATGGCGGAGCTCTCCATCCCTGACACGTGATTCTGGCTCATTATTCTGTTTATCCTTCGTGTTTTCCACAGTTACTAGAAAATTAAAAGTGGATTCATGCTTTTAAAATGTCAGAAAAGTCTCCAAAGGAAGCGGTACAACCGTCCCAACTTGAGAGCTACACAGGTGCGCCACAAAAATAGTTCCCCAGAGAAACATCATGGTGGAATAATGGTCCATAATAATGGTGTTTAGATGGGTGCAGCTTTATCAAAATACTGCAATTAAATACGACTACGCAACTGTATTTTAAACTGATCTTGTAAAATGTAAATCGTTTATCCTTATAATTGTATGTGAAGTACAATTACAACTTCCCTAAGACTATCTAGGGATTGTATCTTCCAATATTCATTGAAATACATATAGAGGAATATCTTACTTTGTTATTTTATTTTAAGTTATGTTGTTGTTATCCTGTTTTTTTCTTTTCTTATATATTTGCCCACATGTATCCTGTTTAATTTGACAATTCATTATTAATGTATAAATGGTTTGAATTTATCACAAAAAAATATTTCTATTGCTGTTATAATCTGAAAATGACTTTAAACCAAAAAGGGAATTTAAAGGATATCAAATGAAAACTGTTTTAGTTATATAATTATAGTAATACAAATAACTGTAGGAACCTTGATCGGGGAACATTCGCTTCGTCGGCGTAGTTTCAATGTAACTCCTCGAAGCTTCCGGTGTAGACATCCATGGAGGACATAACTGTCATGACAACAACGTGACTTACCGTTTGCGTTTCTTCTTCAGCTCTTGAATCAATGTCGTCGGTTTGAATTCAGTGAATATAATGTGAAATTAGTTACGTGTTTATCCGTCGCGTTCATTATCGTTTGGTCTACTCTGCGTTTAGCAGGGCTGCACGGTAACGTTAACCTTGGCGTGCACCACAGTAGTTTAACTAACTAGTGGCTGTCAATTTAACCGTCACTGTCACTAAGGCTACCGAATTAAAGATGTCGGGGGTCTGTCGTGGTTTGAGCTCAGTGAAGGTAAGAAGAACATCTTGCAGTATTTCTCATGTTTCAAACTGACCTTACCTTAATGCTTTCTTTACTTTAAAATCAGGACCTCTCAATGTTGATACTGCCAGGTTGTGTTCTATTGAAATGTTCTTTCTCTTGATATAGTAAATGTGGTCAAAAATCCAGAGTTTCACAATATATATAAGTTTTGTTCAATATATTTTTCAACTCTAGCAGCCAAATCAGAATTCCTTTATTCGTCCCACAGAGGGGACATTTACATTGTTTTAGCAAAATTAGATAAAAGATAGACAACAAATTATAATAAATTACAAAAAAGGGCATTCATATAATATTTAAAATACTTACTTAGTTATTACAATGTATTTACAGTACACATTTGGGTAGAAAAGAAGCAGCAGCAGTATTTATAAAATGCATTAAATGTAACATGTGGTAGAAGCTAAATGTAATATAATTTATAAATGTATATAGCAGCTACTTATCCAAACAGTAAGCACATTGGTTGACAAATGTATATAGTCTCATCTCTCTATATGTGTGTTCTCCTATATCAGGAAATACATGTGCCTTTTATCCTCAGCCACATTATTACAGTCTGCTTTAATGTTGTGTTTGTTCACAGCTCCTGACAGAAGCTACACTTTTGCAGCGTTGCCCATTATTTGTACCGGCACGCAGCAAATTCACCAAAGCAAGAGTCCCCAAAGAGGTAAGAATCAGATCGAACACCAGAGTTTTGCAGAATGATTTTTAATACATTGCTTATTTGTTTAGGCATGTGTATCATGTATGTATAATCTCAACTAAGATGGATCCATTCTATCACCCTAACATTTGGCCCTGTCTTGCAGAGAGGCTTTGTTTTCAATTCATTTTAATACCCGACTCATTTTGGTTAATATTTGTAAATTACGTAAGGTAGAATTAAGTGCATTTATAGCTCCGGGACCCCCTGAGAGATTAATCCAGATATTAAATATATCATGATGCCTTCATCTTCATAATGAATAAAGCATCACTTCAACTCATTTGGGTTTTTTCTTCGCAGATTTTTGAAGAGAGATCAAAAGAGCATGACCGATATGGAGGAGATCCAGAACAACCTCACAAACTGCACATCGTGACACGAGTCAAGAGTACCATGAGACGACCGTACTGGGAGAAAGACCTCGTGAAATACCTGGGGCTCGAAAAGGTGAAGCCTTTGTTTTTATCTGTTAAAAAAATGAGGGAAATGTTTTGTAGAACACGAGAGGAATTCGTATTAAAACAATAAATCAGCACCTCTATAGGAATCAGACAGTGTCTGCTTGAACCTTGGAGAGCAGTAAAGATCCTTTGTTATGATTTGTTGCACTGACTCTGCTCTCTCTCTTCAGGCTCATACACCTGTCATTCACAAAAACACACCTGCCGTCAACAACCAACTGAAATTTGTCAAACATCTTGTGAGGTAATGTATCTGTCTAAAACTCAAGGCTCTGCTCATCATTGAAGCTTACAGATAAATAAAATGTGATGACATAAGACAAGTAGATTCATATCCACGGTTTGTACAGTCGTGAAAGTTTGAAAATTATACATTTTAACTATTAATTTGAATGGTTAGGATTTTATTCTTGAAGTTGGATATACTGTTTGAAAAATGCTTGATTCTCGACTTAATGGTATTTCATCCACAATCACTCGTGTAAACTAAAAGCACTTTCTATATTTGTAATGGAACAATCGGGGTCTTTGTGGAGAGGTTAAGATAGAGCTTAAATATTCAACATAAATGAAAAACAGCTTATGAAATAAACAAAGTAAACACTAATTTTTCAACTTAATTTCCAATCACATTGTCACAATTGACATGCAACGATGAAATCACAGTCTCTGCACCTTACCCTAAAAAGTGTCTGAATTTGAAGCAATAAGAACCATTTTGAATCAGTTATTAAAGTCTGGATCTTAAGACTGTTTCTTGACCCCCTCTCCGCTGGTCCTTCAGGATCCAGCCTCTGAAGACGCCCTACGGCCTGCCAGCTGAGCAGGACATGGGAGACACTTACATCAACACCAAAGGAGAGCTGATCGTCCACCGCCTCCTCCAGCCTGCAGACCCCAAAGCTCTCAAATCCTAGCTCCGCTTCCACATCATGTTCATTCAAAGTTCAATTGTTCCAAAATATCATGAAATATCTTGTGCTCCATAGCTTCCTGTTCTGGTTTCACCACAATGAGCAAAAGGAATATGGTTTAAACAGTTTTTGTATTTACTCAAATGTCTATCTAAATATTGCAAGTATGCAACAGATGATGGTTCAAATTCTAAAGTAAACATGACTTGTTAAAACACATAAATTAAAAGCCTTTTGAAATGAATGTTTCCTTTTTGCTTGTATTTCAGAGAAAGTCATTTCTCACCTGCTGGAAATGTTTCGATCAAGTTTCAGCTCAAGGGTCCTCTCACAGGTTTTTACAATATTGTTTATTGATCCTGTTGCGAGAAGCTCCTTGATTTTCTTTGGGAATGTAGAAAAAAACATATTTAAAAAAAAGTCTAGTATGGCATTGGGACAGTTTAAGTTGGTACGCAATGGCTGTTTTTCATGCATCACTGTCCTGTTGCTCATGTTAAGACGGTTCTATTTACGTACATTTATATTCTTATTGGTCATTCCAGTTTAGTGACATGTAATTCTGTTATCCCAAACCAACTATGATCAGCCAGCGTAATGGAAGACACCTGAATCACACTAAAGGGTTATACTCCCTGCATTCATCTTTTCCAGGAAGAATAGTCAAACGAGGTACATTGCAATGCATTATGGGAATTGAAGGATCATGTTTTAGTAGGGTTTTTACCCATACTAACTTAGTGTGCTACAATTTGCTACATCAGTTTCTCACACAGAATAACAAAATCCCAGAGGCAGACATTTTTAAGTCATTTTTATTAAGTCCGCATCAGTCAAGTCGAACTCCTGCTACAAGTAAATGTGTAAAAATGTTTTCTGACGCTTTTGATTATCTAGGTAATTCTGCATCATGTTTTCCGTTCTAACGTCAGACTCACAGAGGAACAAGGAAACACAGGAGAATCAGAGCAATGTGAATGAGAACGCCTGCAATTCATGAGGAAGCTTCAAGGTTTCAGTCACTGAGAAAATCAACACCAACACGTGGGAGATATTGGACCAATGGCTGGCTCAGTGAAGCTTTCTGTATCAGCTAGAAGTTTCCATGTTATTAAAAGGCATGTTTGTCATGTTGATGTTATTCAAACATGGAAGGCAATTCGTTAAAAAAAGCTGAAACAAAAGATTTTATGGAAAACATTATGAGACACGATAGAAGTAAAAATATGAAATAGAATAAAAGGTTAAGTCACGGAGAGGACAGGAAAAGTATAAGCTGAACGTTTATTAAAAGAGAAACGGGATGAGTCGGAGCTTTTCAGTCAGAGTCTGAGTCTGAGTCGTAGGTTCGCCCTCGGATGGTTTTCTTCTCCACCTTTGTGAACTTAGTGCCCGACCTCACCGGTCCTGTAGGAGGCTCCATCAGGTTGCCACTACAACAGGAGAAAAGGATGACGCGTGTGTTTTTATCCACTCATAACTTTGATTCTGTAGCTATAACGCATGCTAGCTGAAGGTGGTATCTCACCTGTAGTTGATCACATCCGCACAGCCGAGTCTCCATTCCAGCATCTCTGTGGAAAACTCGTCAGTGTTTCCCAGGTCGGTGAATCCCACCACATAGTCCTTTGTTTTTCCGTCAATAAGCAGGCACATGGTGGGAATAACTTTGATCCGCAGCCTGTCTGTCAGAAACGGGGCCTTATCCACGTTCAGTGTGATGAATTTGGTCTCAACGTGCTTCTTTGCCAAGATGGTCAAGTGTTTGTCGAGGATCTTACACCTACACGTAGGGGACAGAAGAGTTTAACAGCCGGATGACAACGCACAAAGTTACTGACATTTAAAACAAAGAGGAGACCTAACATTAATTCAATTCAAGTTTATTTATATAGCCCAAAATCACAAATCCTATTTGTCTCAGAGGGCTTCACAAGTCAACAAACACAATTGGCAAAGTAAAACAATAAACGTATCTTATAAGATCAAAGTGAAAATACCAATTTAAGAAAAGAAAAAAAGTTATAGCTGAACCAATTGAATGGTCAAAATAAAACTAGAAAAACATCTTAAAATGGTACACCTCAGTCACTCCATTGATGTACATATACACCAGCGATGGACTGACCTGAAGGTGGAGCCTTTGTAGAAGTGGCAGACGACGTTCTTGCTGTCTTTGACTTCGCCGAAAAAGTCTTTCTCACTGGAGATCTCTCTGTACTCTCCGTGGCCTTTATTCAACCACTCCTTCAAAACAAGAATACTAGGGTGAGGAGCAGAACACTGAAATAGTGTTATACCCCCCCCCCCCCCCCGATATAAGATCCATATATAATCCTGCTGATTAGACCAACTCCAAAACAACAGTTAGTTTAACAACAAAAACAATGCTTCTCAGCGTGGTCTTTATGAAAAACTCAAATACTTTTCTGAGATTCTGAGACTTGAAGGGCTCTGAATAAAACTGATGACAAGCAACAGTTTAATAACGTCTCTGTGAAGAAACATGTTTCACTGATTTCTGATTATCCAACAATGTCTTTCTCACAAGTCCACACAACTTATACATATTCCACAACCACCGTCCGTCACCCTGACATTTGGATTTCTCAAGGCTTTTTGGAATCATTTGGCATGATATATATACACACACAACATAGGTTTAGTTTGTCTGCCCTTAAGAAAAACATACCTGCTTCTGTTTCTGGGCTTTCTTAAGCGCCTCTAACCGCCTCTCCTTCAGTCTCTCCAAATCATCTTCATCAATTTCATTCAGTTTGCTCATCTGTGCATCCAACTTCTCCTCCACCACCTTGGCGGTCTGCTCCAGAACCTTTGACAGGATGTCCATCGATTGGTGGGCCATGGTGGCTCTGTGTGGATGTCTCTCTGAATGTAGGGAGGGAAACAGATAAACAATAAGACGAGATTACATTTCTCCTGTCCATACCGGCCTACGACGTGCCTCAGTGATACAAAAGAAGAAAACTATAATATACTACACTCTGTTTCGTGTTGTTAAATCTTTAAGGTTGTTTTCGGGGCTGTTTGTGAGGATGTTGAATAGCATTTTGCTACACTGAAGTCTGTTTCTAATATTGAGTCTATCTTCACTGACCCGTTGGATATACTGTTGAATGACTAAACAAAAAGTGAACATAGGAACCATCATGTAGTTGAAGTTTTGTAGCTGGTACTGATTCAGCTAGGTGTATCTAATAAACTGTAATAAATGCCTGCTTGTCAAATGCCCTAACATGAGCAACGCAGCATGTAATGGTGTCCACCAGTCATTGAGGAGAAACAATATACCTAAAGTCACAGTGTTTTATGTATAGTTTAGTTTGATCATGTAAACAATTCAAATACCTAAATAAAATATCTGTGCCAACAAAGCTTTAACAGATGAATGCTTTATGAAGGCACTCCTGGGCTCTGTGAAATGCCTTCATGACTTAAAGCATTCGTCTGTTTGCATTTCACATATTTATTGCGACTATAAACAGTATTTTATTATTGTTTTTACTATATATTCAGTTTTTAGCTCATCTTAGTCTAATTTGAGATTTTCATTGTCATAATTAAACTACTGCGCATATGACAATAACACCTTTGAATCTTTACACACGTTATAACAAATAGAAAATATGTAAGCAACAATGGCAAATGTAATCCAGGTAACATATCCTTTCCAGACTCAAATAAACCCTTAAGAAAGTTGTTGACATTTGATCAAACAACGGTAGCAGATGCCACAGACGACAGAACGGTGCTTCTCGTTAAATGTCGCTACCGACATAGACAGTGGTCCATTGCACCATGGATGTATAAAGAGAACATTGCATTGAACCTTGAGTATATAACAAGTGAAGCATTGAGGGTCATTTCCTTGACATCCAGAGAATTCAAACAGCTGTTATTATGGTCGCCACATAAATAACTGCTGGTCATTTTAACCAATTAGAAACCTGTCGAATATAAAAGACTGTTCGACCCTTTGTGACAACTGGGCACACCTTCTTTTCGTCGCTTGGTTATTCCCAATAGACCTACGTGAGCTCCATTACAAACTTGGTACAGTTTGTCAATTTCTGCGACATTTTTTAGCTTTAGCTTACTGTGCAGCCATTTATAACACGTCTGTCAATCGATGAATGAAGCTAACAAGTGGATATTTTCTGCCAGTCATTAACAAAAAACCCAGACAAATGCGTGTGTTAGCATGCTAAGCTAGCTACCGTTGGCCATGAGTTTCATAGATGTACACACTGACAGGGATATCAGAAAACACGTCACACGGGTGTAAGATAAAATAAGTCAATTATGTGTTGTGTTGATAACAGTGTGCTAATTCATAACCTTAATGCTGTTAAATTATCGGTTACCTGATCAGAGCTGATACTTCAGTTGAGCGAAATGCGAACGGTTGCTGAGGATATGACGTTACACCATATCCGGTTGACGTTATACTACATCCGGGCATTTCATTTCATAAAATAACGCTTTTTTAATAAAGCTATGTATTTGTATTATATTTGCAATTATCTATAGTTTAAACATGCTTTACGCTTATTTATTTTAACTCCTAATTTTAAAATAAATTATCAACAAAGATACATTGTGTTGATAGTTGTTCTAAGACGCAAAATGTAATTGTATTATTAATACTGATAAATATGTTTACATTCAATAATGGAAAACAAACTTTTATATATTGGCCACCATAACCATACAAAAAATAAAAATCTTGCAAACATAATGTCGATAAGAAGGTGATTGTTAAGGGACATTATTGACCGTTAAGTGTTTATTGGCTCTAACATAAACAATTCTGCATGTTTTCAAATTAGTGGATTTCATGCCTGCAAGAAGAGGATAGCCTTGTTTTTCAAGACTAGCCATTTGTTCATATTTTTAATTTGTAAAATCACCATTTTCAAATAATATTTTAAGAACCGACATAGTCATGGTTGGAAACCATCCTAAAATGCAGGATATATATAATCAATGACAAAGACACATCAATGAATACAGAATTTACAGTTTATTACCAAGATTTTAGAAAACTTACAAACAATTTCACAGCTTCAGGTCTTCAGGCACAAGCCAGTTTAGAGAAGACAAGACTGGCCAGTTTTAACTCCTGGCCATTCCTTCCAGAAAGATATGACAGGTGAAGAGAAGCAAACATCTGGAAAGTGAGCGGAGACTTACACATTCTGAATTACATTCATTTCAACAAGTTGAAAACATAAACGATTGATTTGGTTTGCATATTGGGGATACTGCTTTGAGAAACCTTTCCAACCACACGTACATAATGTCCTGCATGGTGAGATCACAAGCTAGCCAGCCAGCCGCATCTGCTGAGTACTTCTAATCACCAATCATAACGTTAAATCACAGAAATACAATGATGTAGCCACAAGCCATACACATGTATCAGGAAACGTCTCCATTGAATGAAGTACACAAGTACAAACATTGAGTTAAAAATCAGCTCACCTGGTCAAATCCAGCATTATCTCAATATTCAGATTTGTGACTAAGCTGGAACACTAGAAAAGATTTTCTGCAGATACAAAGGCTGTATGAAACTTACATTATCTTGAAGGGACATCTCATCTGCTAGTGAAAAAAACAACTGCGTAGGCTACTTATTGATCACCATAACCCCTGTCATCATCCGCAGAGTCAGAGTGCTACTGAGAATCAACAGTTAACCTCACAGGAAGTGCTTTGACCAGCTTCCATGTTGGAACACTTACAAACAATTAGAGATTGAGGAGATTTTACAATTTAGAGACAGTTACTAAGAATTCACTACATGTAAACAATACAAGAGGTAAATCCTCCACGTACATATTTTTCTTTAAACAAGTGTCTTTAAAAACATTATTTACATTCTATAATAACAAGGTTTGGCACTTTTTTTTGCAAGAGAAGAGGAATAGATACTACTGTATGCAGCAGACTATGTTTTGTTGGCTTTTTTTGAGACAGCAGTAGTAGATACATCACAGGTTAGTCCAAGTAGCTCGGAGCACCAAGGAAATGTTTTGTCCTTTATCCATAAGTCCTAAGTCTGAGGAGTGCTACAACCCTAACCGATTCTGAAATCTCTAAAAGGTGCTTTGTGTTTTAACATGACGATTATGTTTTCATTTTAAACCTTATTTAACTGCAAAAGAAACATAGAAATGTGCCTGT